GAAACGCTTGTGTTGCAGAACATGTTGAGGCTGTCGAGCGAAACGCTTGTCTTGTGTTATAGATGGTCCTCTCCTCGGGACCAGAAATCAGTTTGAGGAAATCTCAAGTGACATGCTATTTTCACGTGCAGGTCTTGAGGATATCTGGAGCGAGACGCTTGGCTTCACGCGTCCAGGTTGCCCAGGCAGATGTCTAGCATGAGGATTTGTTGAGGATGTCTCGAGCTCGAGCCAGACGCTTGTGTTCAAGCGTCCAGGTCGCCCAGGCGGATGTCTAGCATGAGGATGTGTTGAGGATGTCGCTTGTTTTCAGGTGTCCAGATTGCCCAGGCGGATATCTAGCATGTGGATGTCGTTGAGAATGTCTTGAGCGAAACGCTTGTTTTCACGTGTCCAGGTCGCCCAGGCGGATGTCTAACATGAGTATGTGTTGAGGATGTCTCGAACGAGACGTTTGCTTTTACGCGTCCAGGTCGCCCAGGCGGATGTCTGTCACGAGGAGGTGTTGAGAACGCTTCGAGTGAAACGTTTGTTTTCACGCGCCTAGGTCACCCAGGCGGACGTCTAGCATGAATATGTGTTGAGGATGTCTCGAGAGAGCCATCTGTTTGCACGTGTCCAGTTCGCCCAGACGGATGTCTAGCATGAGGATTTGGGCAGGATGTCTCGATCGAAACGCTTGTCGCCCAGGCGGATGTCTAGCATGAGGAGGTGTTGAGAACGTCTCGAGCGACACGTTTGTGTTCACGCGCCCAGGTCACCCAGGCGGACGTCTAACATGAAGATGTGTTGAGGATGTCTCGAGCGAACCATCTGTTTTCACGTGTCCAGTTCGCCCAGGCGGATGTCTAGCATGAGGATGTGTTCAGGATATGTTGAGCGAAACGCTTGTATTCACGTGTCCAGGTCGCCCAGGTGGATGTCGAGTATGAGGATTTGTGCAGGATGTCTCCAGCGAAACGCTTGTCGCCCAGGCGATGTCTAGCATGAGGACTTGGGCAGGATGTCTCGAGCGAAACACTTGTGCACGTTCCGTAGCGCGTCCCCTTGGCACGTCCCGCTGTGCGTCCCCATGGCACGTCCCCTGGCGCGTCCCATGCGACGTTCCGCGGCGAGTCCCCCTGGCATGTCCCCCTGTCAATTAGTTCTGGGGCAGCTACTATGTGCTCAGGCAGCTCGAGCCTAAGATCCAGATCAGTTCGGTGAGGACTCGGATGCAAAGGAGGACTCGATCCACGACGCAACAGAGCACGATCGCGGCATGGCACATCGCAATTCCGCACGGCGCAGCACAGCACAGCCCTCGGCACGGTACATCAAGATCCATACACTCAGCATTGCAACCTGGCACGTTCCGTGGCGCGTCCCGTGGCGAGTCCCCTTGGCACGTCGCGTGGCGCGTCCCTTTGCACGTGCTGTGGCACGTCCATTGGCACGTTCCGTAGCGCGTCCCCGTGGCACGTCCCTTGGTGCGTTCCCATGGCACGTCTCCTGGCACGTCCCCCTGGCGCGTCCCCTGCGACGTTCCGCGGCGCCCTCCCCTGGCCTGTCCACCTGTCAATTGGCTCTGGGGCCATGTGCTCAGGCAGCTCGAGCTTAAGATCCAGATCAGTTCGGTCAGGACTCGGATGGAATGGACGACTCGAGCGTGGTTCTTGATTGCTTGCGGCATGACGGGCGTCATGGCCCCGCGACCCCCTACGACGTAACGCTCCCCACCCCCAGTGCGCTCCGGGCACTGCCGCCGTGGCGCATCGGGATCCGCATAAGTGTCCGCAGAATAACCCGCACAGGAGTCTGGTCCGCAGTCGTCGTCGTCGTCGTCGTCGTCGTCGTCGTCGTCGTCGTCGTCGTCGTCGTCGTCGTCGCTCGTCGCTCGTCGCTCGTCGCTCGTCGCTCACGGTCGTTGTGGGCGCGGACGCGGCTGGAGCCTGCTTTTTCCCGGAAAGGGCTTAGGCCCAGGGTTCACTTTTAGTGTGTTTACCCCCGGTTCTGACGGCTGTAGGGCCGGCGAAACTATTTGGCGATAAATATGGAGGTCGCGTAGGGCCGGCAAATTCGAATTTTGAGGATGTCCCTAGCGAAACGCTGGTTTTTGAAGTCGCGATCGATACATCACAGGATGCGGGACACGTTCTGGTCAGGGGAACCGATTACGTATGTTCCTATATATTGGCTTTTCCATTACTTATAGATTGGCCCTCTCCAGAGGCACGAATATGTGCGTTTTTACATATATTCCTATGGATTGGCCCTCTCCAGGATTACGTGTGTTCCTATACATTGGCCCTCTCTAGGGGCACGAATCCGTGTCCTTTTACGTATGTTCCTATAGATGGGCCCTCTCATTACCTTTAGGTTGGCCCTCTCCAGGGGCACGAACACGTGTGTTGTCACACATATTCCTATAGATTGGCCCTCTCCAGGATTACATGTGTTCCCATAAATTGGCCCTCTCCAGGGGCACGAGTACGATTTTTTACGTTTGTGCTATATATATATGTATATATGTATGGGCCCTCTCATAACCTATAGAATGGGCCTCTCCATGAGTACGAAAACGTGTGTTTTTACATATAATCCTATAGACTGGTCCTCCCCAGGATTACGTATGTTCCCACAGATGCACGAATCTGCATATTTTCCCGGAAAGGGCTCAGGCCCAGGGTTCTCTTTTAGTATGTAAACATAGTCCCCCGTGCCCAACTTGAAGGAGGCCGGCGGATTCTTTCCCTGATAAATATCGAGGGAGAAGGAGGCCGGCGGATTAAAATTTGAGGATGTCTCAGGCGAAACCCTTGTTTTTGAAATCCCGATCGATAAATCACAGGGTGCGGGCCGCCTCAGCACGACCACACCCCAGCACGACCATGCCCCAGCACGACCAAACCCCAGCACGACCCCGCCCCAGCACGACCCCACCCCAGCACGACCACGCCCCAGCACGACCACACCCCAGCACGACCACACCCCAGCACGACCACACCCCAGCACGACCCCACCCCAGCACGAGCCCACCCCAGCACGACCACACCCCAGCACGCACGACCACGACCACACCCAGCACGACCACGCCCCAGCACGACCACTCCCCAGCACGACCCCGCCCCAGCACGAGCCCACCCCAGCACGACCACACCCCAGCACGACCTCACCACAGCGCGACCCCACCCAAGCACGACCCCACCCCAGCAAGACCACACCCCAGCACGACCACACCCAGCACGACCTCACCACAGCGCGACCTCACCACAGCACGACCACACCCCAGCACGACCACGCCCCAGCACGACCACGCCCCAGCACGACCACGCCCCAGCACGACCACCCCCCAGCACGACCACCCCCCAGCACGACCCAGCACGACCACACCCCAGCACGACCACACCCCAGCACGACCACTCCTCAGCACGACCACACCCCAGCACGACCACACCACAGCACGACCACACCCAGTCGCACTCCCGTGGAATGTTTCGTGGGGTGTCTCGTGGAATGCCGTCGTCGTCCTCGTCCGCGATGTGCTTTGGTTGAGTGGTTGCCTGTTCGTGGGGTGTCTCGTGGAATGTTTCGCGGGGTGTCGCGTGGAATGTTTCGTGAGGTGTCTCGTGGAATGTTTCGTGAGGTGTCTCGTGGGATGTTTCGCGGGGTGTCTCGTGGGATGTTTCTTGAGGTGTCGCCCAGTTGGGTATCGTGAAAACGTGACCGTGCTCCACATGTCTATATCCCTTTCCGGGTTCGTGGGTCCATCATGTTTAAATATATTCCTAACAATGGACCCTCTTATTACAAAGAGATTGGGCCTATCCAGGGGCACGATTACGTGTTATATATATATATATATTCCTATAGATTGACCCTCTGCAGGGTTACGTGTGTTCCCATATTTTGGCCCTCTCCAGGGGCAACAATCCGTATGTTTTTACGTATGTGTTTGAGGATGTCTCGAGCGACGCGCTTGTTTCTTTCAGAGTGTGTTGAGGATGGCTTGGGCAAAACGCTTGTTTTGTGCTATAGATTGTCCTCTTCTGGGGACCAGGATTCAAAGGATCTCTCAGGGCAAATGCTTGTTTTCACGTGCCCAGGTCTTGAGGATGTCTCGAACGAGACGCTTGGTTTCACGCCTCCAGGTTGCCCAGGCAGAGGTTTAGCGCCAGGATTTGTTGAGGTGTTGAGGATGTCTCGAGCGAACCACTTGTTTTCACGTGTCCAGTTCGCCCAGGCGGACGTCTAGCATGAGAATGTGTTGAGGGTGTGTTGAGCGAAACGATTGTTCTCACGTGTCCAGGTCGCTCAGGCGGATGTCTAGCATGAGGATTTTGACAGGATGTCTCGAGCGAAACGCTTGTCTCCAGCACGTTCCGTAGCGCGTCCCCTTGGCACGTCCCGCGGTGCGACCCCATGGCACGTCCCCTGGCACGTCGCCTGGCGTGTCCCTTGAGACGTTCCGCGGCGCGTCCTCCTGGCATGTCCCCCTGTCAATTAGCTCTGAGGCAGCCACTATGTGCTCAGGCAGCTCGAGCTTAAGATTCAGATCAGTTCGGTCAGGACTCGGATGCAAAGGAGGACTCGATCCACAACGCCATAGAGCACACTCGCGGCATGGCACACCGCAATCCAGCACGGCGCAGCACAGTACAGCCCTCGGTACGGTATATGAAGATCGATACACTCAGAATTACAGCTGCCCGTCGCCCAATCAGGTTTCTTTGAAGACCTTGCCATGCCTTAAATCGGAGGGCACCAACTATACACCAACACCGATCCTGGCCCAGGATCACCCTGGGCCCGTGATCGGTGTATATGCCTTCTTGCCCAAGGCAGGAGGGCGTTTACACCGATCCTGGGCCAAGGGTGATCCTGGCCAGGATCGGTGTTGGTGTATAGTTGGCGCCTTCCTATTAAATTTCTATGTTCCTTTCTGGGTTCGTGGGTCGATCATGTTTGTTCCTCTATCTGCGGGGGTTCGTCAACAGAGGCAAACAACAACACACGCGGAGGCGGATGCTCTGAAGCGGATGCGGGTACTGCACCAGCAGTACGTCGCGCAGGTGGGCATGCCTCAGACCACGGAGCAGTGGACGGCCTGGATGGAGGCGTTCAAGCAGAACAACTACAGCGAGGATCGGAGAAGAGAACACGACATACCCAGACTCGAGTCACGATCCGAAAGCACTGGGCGTTTGTGTTGCTACTTCCGGCCGCTGGAAGCCTTTACCGGGCCTCGTATAATCTGTTGGGTATGCTCGGCTGCTTTCGTTGCGATCCTTACCACAGCCCACGGCGCACCAGAGGATTTATGAACCAAGCATGGCCGCAGCGGGTTTCTTGTTTGAGGGAGAAAAAATACCGGGCCTCGGGACCGTCGAAGAACGACTTAGGATGAGACGCCAGTCCCGGGGAACGGGTTCGGACCTCTGTCAGGAGGGGAAAAAACACACAGACACAATTAATCGTCGATCCCCAGGAAAATATGCGAAAATATGGGAATTGGGGGGGAAGACAAAAACCCAGAAAATGTGAGAAAATATGGGGAATATGTTTATTTGTGTGTATTTATTTGTGTGTTCTGGGGCCCCTTTACTCTCTTGGTCGACGCTGTGAAACAGTTAGGCCGTCGGGGGGGTGGGATGGCACACGCTTCAGGAGGTCCGCGCGGGCTCCCCGGATCGGCGCCCAGCCTCTCCCTGGCGGCGGCTCCCGCGCCGCCCCCTGCGCGCTCCGCGCGCCAGGCATGGGGGCCCCGCGCCGATCCGAGCGGCCCGCGCGGAGTTCCGCACACGCACGCACGAGCGAACCGCCACAACGGGCAGATGTCCGTGGCGGTGAGGAGGAGGAGGGGGAGGAGGAGGAGGAGGAGGAGGAGGAGGAGGAGGAGGAGGAGGAGGAGGAGGAGGAGGAGGAGGAGAGGAGGAGGATTAGTAGTGGAGGAGGAGGAGGAGGAGGAGGAGGAGGAGGAGGAGGGCCAGTCGAGTCCACGGCGGCCCTCACGGGCGTGTTTTTCGTCTCCTGGCCAAGACCAGGTGTCACCACCCACCAGACCGCCCGAACCCAACCCGAAGGCTCAGATTTGCCCTCGATCTCCAGTGTGGGGGGGGGGTCGGAGGGCAGGGGGGGAGAGGGGGGGGAGGGGTCTGGTCACGTCACGATTCGCGCCGGGCGCCGTCTGGGAATGCTTATCACCACCCACCAAGCCACCCCAACCCAACCCGAAGGCCCCAATTTATCCTCGATTTCCAGTGGGGGGGTCGGGAAGCATCGAAAAAGCACAGGTGGAGCCCTTCCCCCCCCCAACCCGAAGTTCGGGTCTTCGGGTTGGGTTGGGGTGGTCTGGTAGGCAGTCGAGGTGGGGCAGGCCACGGCCTCTGTGATCTGGTGCGTATGGAAAAACACAGACGTGCATTCGAGCGCGAGGAACGTGCAGAGTTCCGACGGAGAGGGCGAAGGAGGAGGAGGAGGAGGAATGAGCTCTGGTTGTGGATATCGACAGCATGCCGTGTCGATATGCGAGTGCTGCTCCGGAAGCGCCTGTTTACGCCGTTCTGTATCCCTCCAGAGGACCTGATCAGGAAGTTCCACGCGGAGCTGTCCGCGCAGCACCAGAAGGCAGGATCCGTCTCGATCCCATCGATCCGAGTCGATATCGGTTTCAGGAGGCGTCATCCGACTTCCCGATTGGTGTCGACCCAGGCGTGCGGTGTCTTGATTTTTTCAACGCGGTCCGTGGAAGTACCGACCCTTTCCCCTGTCGGGGGCCTAAATCCAGACCCGGGTCAGTCAGGCCCTGCAGGATCCTGCAAGATTCTGCAGGACCCTGATCCTGCACCCAAGCCCGGGTCAATGCACCCCTGGCGTTCTGGCTGACCCCCGTTTGCAGTGACCCCCGTCTTCTGAGCCCCGACCCTGGGTCTGCTTCTCATCCTGAGTCCTCCTGCAACGGCCCTGGGTGCTGGTGAGGCCCCCTCCCCCGTGGGGCGACGAGGTCTAGACACATCCGCTGCTCCCTGGCCACGCCCATCCCGAACCCGCCGGCGGTGTATACGCCACGCACGCCCTCCTGGCTTGGCCAGGAGGGCGCATACACAGCTGCTGGGCTCAGGATGGGCCTGGCAAGTGAGCAGCGCATGTGTCTAGACCTCGTCGCCCTACCGGGGGGGGGGGCCCCACGCGGCCGAAGCCCTCCGGTCCATCCTGGGAGACTTCGCGGCGCGGGCTCGTGTCTGGGGGCCGACCTCCCTCTCCCCTACCCCTCCCCCTGCTCCTCCTCCTCCTCCTCCTCCTCCTTCTCCTCGTCCTCCTTCTCCTCCTCTTCTTATTCTTCTTATTCTTCTTATTCTTAGTATTGTTCTGAATAGTCTTATTCCAATCCTTCTTCATCCTATTATTCGTCTTATTCTTCCTATGATTATCATTATTCTTAGTATTATTATTCGCAGGCGGCGAAGCAGGCGGCGAGCGCGCCAAAGCAGAAGCCGAAGGCGAGGCGGTGACCGCTGCGCGCCTGCGGCGGCGGCCCCCCCTCCATAGGGGCCCCCGTGCCGCGGGCGCCCTGCGGCGGGCGCCGCCGCCCGCCCCCTGTCTCGGGCGTCGCGCCGGGGGGCGCTCCTCGGGGCCCCCGCCGGGGGGGGGGGATCTGCGGTCTGTAGGTCACCACCCACCAAACCACCCCAACACAACCCGAAGGCTCAGATTTACCCTCGATTTCCAGTGGGGGGGGGGGGTCGGGAAACATAGAAAAAACACGCGTGGAACCCTTACCCCCCCAACCCGAAATTCGGGTCCTCGGGTTGGGTTTGGGTGGTCTGGTAGGCAGTCAGTAGACCTCCCAGGTGTCGACTAGACGTAAGAGTGACCTTTCGCCGGAGCGACCTTTTTGGTGCGGGCACGGATGGGTCCCCAGATGGCCGAAGACGAAGCGGTGGCAGCGGCTTGCGCGCCCAGGTTTGGCCTCCCCGCGGCCCCCCAAAAAGTCGCGCACCAAAGGTCACTCTTGCCCAGGGTCGCTCTTGCGTACAGCCGAGGGTGGGAGGGGCCCTCGAGTGTTTTTTCCCCCCCCCGCAAGGGGCAGAGGCCCAGGGGGACCTCCTTTGGTTGGTAAGCTGTCCCCGGTGCCAGGTTCGAAGAGGGCCGGCGGACTCTCTCTCCTGATCCGTACCGAGGTCGAAGAGGGCCGGCGGCCGGCGGATTGGAATTTGAGCACGTCCCGATGTCCAGAGCGAAGCGCTGGTTTTGAGATGCCGATCCATCGGAGCGGTTTCGTTTGTTGCGGACGTCTCGAGCGAAAGGCTTGTTTTGCACGTCTCGAGCGAGTTGATGGTGTCTCGAGCGCAACGCTTGTGTTGTGCTATAGATCGTGCCTCTCATGGGGACCAGGATTCAGAGGATGTCTCAGGTGAAATGCTTGTTTTCACTTGCCCAGGTTTTGAGGATGTCTCTCGAGGGACGCTTGGTGTCACGCCTCCAGGCTGCCCAGGCAGATGTTTAGCAACAGGTTAGTTGAGGATGTCTCGAGCGAGACGCTTGTTTTCATGTGTCCAGGTCGCCCAGGCGGATGTCTAGCATGAGGATGTGCTGAGGATGTGTTGAGCGAACCGCTTGTTTTCACGCGTCCAGGTTGCCCAGGCAGATGTCTAGCATGAGGAGTTGTTGAACATGTCTCGAGCGAGACGCTTGGTTTCACGCCTCCAGGTCGCCCAGGCGGATGTCTAACATTCATTCGGATGCGTTGAGGATGTTTCGAACGATACGCTAGTTTTCACGTGCCCAGGTCGCCCAGGCGGATGTCTCACATGAGCGTTGAGGATGTCTCGAGCAACGCGCTTGTCATAGTAGAGTGCAGCGCAGTCCAATCCCGCCCGTCCGTGGAGCGTCCCCTGGCGCGCTGGCGCGTCCCCTGGCGCGTCCCGTGCGACGGTTTGGCATGACGTGCCCTTGCACGTCCCCTAGCACGCCACTCGGCGTGGCACGTTTCCTGGGTCGTCCTTTGTCGCGTTTCATTGCTCGTCCCCAGTCGTTTCCCTTGCGCGTTCCGTGGCGCGCCCCTTACAACGTCCCTTGGCATGATGTCCTCTGGTCGCCCCATGGCACGCGCCTCGGAACGTCCCGTGGCAGGTCCCTGACACGTTCAGGGCACGTTCCCTGATATTTCCTCTGACACGCTTCCTGGCGGATCCCCTACAGCGACCCTGGCATATCCTGTGGCGCGTCCGTGAGCCTGTGCCCCATGTCGTGTCGTGCCTTTTCGGAGCTGATGCGGATTCTAAGGTTGAGTTGATTGAACGTCCAGCACGTTTCCACTTCAACTAGCTCTGCGGCAGCTACTATGTGCTCAGGCAGCTCGAGCTTAAGATCCAGGTCAGTTCGGTCAGGGCTCGGATGCAAAGGAGGACTCGATCCACAACGCTATAGAGCACAATCGCGGCATGGCACATCGCCATCCAGCACAGCGCAGCACAGCACAGCCTTTGGCACGGTACATCAAGATCGCTGCACTTAGCATTGCAATTGCCCGTCGCCCAATCAGGTGTCTTGAACACGTCCCATGCCTCACATTTCTATATTCCTTTCCAGGTTCGTGGGTCGATCATGTTCCCGGAAAGGACGTGGGCCCCAGGTTCTCTTTTAGAGGGTCTCCCCTTGAATCGACTTGCGTAGGGCCGGTGCAATTATTTGCGGTAGAGAACGAGGTCGCGCAGGACCGGCGAGATTACTACACCCTCCACGCCCCAGTCAGATTCCACCCCACGGGGCCACGTTTTGTGTACAACAAGCCACGCCCCGGGGAGGGAAATTGGGTATGCCAAATGCACGACCGGGACCCTCGCCCACCCCCAGGGGCTTTTTGGTCACAGTGTAGAATTTGTAGGGCGGCATGGGGGTTGGAGGCTCGCGCCGCATCGCCGATGCGTCGGGGAGCACGACTTTCTCCTCGTCGACGTCGCCGATGCATCGCCGGCGTCACAGATGTATCGTCGATGCATCGCCGATGCATCGGCAATGCGGCGCGATCATCTGACCCCATCTACTCCGACGCCACCTGGAAGGCCTCCCACTCGGCGACAAACAATCCCAGACCCCTCGAGTCATGAACAAATCAAGACGGGAGGCTTTTTGCTATATTCGGCCTCTGGGGGCCCTTACCAGGCCACGGGACCGTCAAAGAAAGACACGGGATGAGAAGCCGGTCCCGGAATTGCGTCGAGATTTTTAGGGTTTTTCTTGGGGTCGATGCGGAATTATTTTGCGATAAGTAACGAGGTACAAGTTGTTGGTTTTAAATGAAGATGTGTTTCAAGCGTGCCCGCTCGAGGAACATGTGCCCCCCATTTCGAATCCTCGGTTAATGACAGGGTCCGCAGACATGTTTGTGGCGCGGACGCGACGTAACTTATACGAGGTCGTTGCCCCGAGAGCGCGGACCCAGCTTGATTTACGAAGGGTCGCGGCCCTCACCGCGAACTCAGCGTAATTTCAGCGAGGGACCGTGGCCCTGGAGCGGAAATCCTGAGTCATATCCGAGGGATCGTTGCCTTGGGAGCGCGAAGGCGACGTAGCTTTCGAGGGGCCGTGGCCCTGAGGGCGTGACTCTCGCGCAATTTGCCAGGGATCGCGGCCCTGGGAGCGCGGACGCCGCGTGATTTTTTTCGCGGGTCCAGGTCCGTCGGTTTCGGTGCCAGGCCGGTTCTTACTAAAGGGAGGTTTGCTAAGGGGGGGGTTGTCCGCCGCCGATGCTGTGGCCGGACCTTCAAGAGTGGGCCTCTCTCTGTTGGGGGCGGGGTTCGCAGGCCCAGAGGTTGGCACCAGCGCCGATGTCGGCGCTGCGCCTCCACCGACGGACGCAGCTCCCGACCCCGGTGATGGTGGCAATCGTCTGGCTTCCGAGGTGACCGAACTCTTACCACCACCGCCGGGATCCAGGATCATCCTCCCCCTGTGGAAGCACTCCCCCGGTGTTGGTGTTCGTGTGCCCCGTCTTTGGTTAATTCAAGCTTCGCGTCAAAGTTGGTGTGTCCAGTGTTGGTGTTGGTGCTGGTGTTGGCGTGCCCGTGTCCAGGCTCCTCCTCCTCCTCCTTCTCCTCCTCCTCCTCCTTCTCCTCCAGTAACTCCTCCTCCTCCTCCTCCTCGTCCTTCCCCTCCCCCTCCTCCTCGTCCTCCTCCTCCTCCTCCTCCTCGTCCTCCTCCTCCTCCTCCTCCTCCTCCTCCTCCTCCTCCTCCTCGGTCGGGGCAGGTCAGATCGCTCGCGGGGGCCGCGCGCGCCCCACGAGCGGAGGCGGCCCTGGAAGGCTTGGTGGGTGTGCACCCGCGCTCCGGAGAGCGAGCCCGCCGGCCCGCTGCGGAGCAGCCGCTGCGTGTGGCCCCCACGAAGGCATCTTCGGGAGCGGCCAGATCAACGGCCCGAGTGTGCGCCCCCAGGATTTCCAGGGAGGACACCGCGGGCTCCACGGCACCCCTCGCGCGGCCGACGGGGCCGTGGGGCTTCAGAATGGAGCGAAAGGCGGGGGGCACCTTGGACCAGGGACACCTCGAGAGCAACCCCCGATTTCGGGGGGGCGGGGTTTCCTGGCTGCCCCTTGGAGAGAAGGCGCGGGCCCTGTCTGCAGAAGTAAGGCCGACGCCTTTCAAGGAGCAGCCTCCTTCTAAGAAGCCGCCCCCCCTCCCCAGGGGGCACGGCGTCTTAAAAGAATACATACCAAAACAACAAGAAAACATAACAAAACAACAAGCAACATAAGACGCCGCCCCCCCTCGGCGTGCCCCCCCTCGGCGCGCCGCCACCAGCGGGTAGGGATGGACCCCCGGGAGAGCTCTAAGGGACCGCTCCGAGAGCGGAGCTGTGCCTGGCGGGAGGGCCCCCCCCCGGTTGGTCTCCGCTGGCCCTCCGGCGGTGCCCGCCGTCTTCGCTTCCCCGAGCCAGTCTTCGCCGGCATCGCCCGACCTCCGCCGCGCCTCCCTCCTCCTCCTCCTCCTGCTCCTCCTCCTCCTCCTCGTCGTCCTCCTCCTCCTCCTCTTCCTCCTCCTCCTCCTCCTCCCCCTCCTCCTCCCCCTCCTATGCCTCCTTCCTCCTCCTCCTCCTCCTCCGTCCTCCTCCTACCTCCTCCCCCCTCCTCCTTCCTCCTCCTCCCCTCCTCCTCCTCCTCCTCCTTCCTCCTCCTCCTCCTCCCCTCCTCCTCCTCCTCGCCGCCCTCCTTCCCTCCTTCCTTCCTCTCCTCCTCCTCCTCCTCCTCCTCCTCCTCCTCCTCCTCCTCCCCTTCTCCTCCTCCCCCTCCTCCTCCTCTCCAGGCCTCCGACGTCCTAGACTTGGTCGCCACGTCGACCCCCGGAGGTCCGGGCCCCTTCCCTGGAACCGGTATTTCACCCCGAGCTGTCCTTGTTGGCCAGGGCCGCCTCCTCCTCCTCCTCCTCCTCCTCCTCCTCCTCCTCCTCCTCCTCCTCCTCCTCCCCTCCCCTCTCCTCCCCCTCCTCCCTCCTCCTCCTCCTCCTCCTTCCCTCCTCCCCTTCTCCTCCTCCCCCTCCTCCTCCTCTCCAGGCCTCCGACGTCCTAGACTTGGTCGCAACGTCCTCCCCCTGAGGTCCAGGCCCCTTCCCAGGAACCGGTATTTCACCCTCGAGCCTCTGATGCTTGTGGCCAGGGCGTGTGCACGGGTGTTCATCAGCCACGCGCAGAGGGGGATGGGGGGAGGGGGTCGGCTTCTTAGAAGCACCCCTGCTTCTTGGGCCTGTTTCTATAGGTGTAAGGCCAGCGCCTTCTAAGAAGTAGCCTCCTTGTAAGAAGCCCTCCCCCCTCCCTCCACCCCCTTGTGCGCGCCGCCGAGTTCATGCACCTCTGAGTGGCCCCGTCGCCGAGCGATGACAGCGTAAAAGAACACCGTTCCAATCTCATGGTGTCGCACTCCCTCCCTTCGAATCGACCCGGCCTTTCCTGAGGTTCGCTCTGGCCAGGACTTCGAGGGGAACCCAGCCGTTGTGACGAAAATTTTAGGCGTGGTGGCGAGAGCGCTTTGGACGGCCCAACAAATTGCAGAAAAGCTGCAGAACCCTCACCTCGAGGAGCCTTTCCTCGTCCTCGTCTTCGTCATCGCCCTCCTCCTCCTCCTCCTGCTCCTCCCTCTTGCTCCTCCCTTCGAAGACGACGACGAGCGAGCAGCGACGACCCAGAGCTCCGACCTCGTGAGTTTTTTTGTTTCACGGCGTGGGCCCCCAGAGGACCCCTGCCCCGGGACCGATTTTTCATCCCGACTCGCTTTTGATCGGCCCTGGGACCCAGCGAAGAGCATTAAGGGGCGGCCTTTTGTCCAGGCCTCCCAGAACTCTGAGAGTGCTCAAATCAGACTCTGCGCCCAATCAGACCCCTCCTTCATTATCATGAGATCTGGAGCGCGTGCTTGAGATAGTAAATCACGGAAGCTTCCGCTCGTCTTGGATTGAATGCATATCGGCGAACAGCGACCAATAGCGCTCAATCGCCAGGATTGATGTTGTGCCGGGCATCGCTCAAATGACGCCCAACAGCGACCAGTAGCGCCCGGTAGCGCCAAGGCTGAGGGATATGCGTGATGTCCGCTCCTTGCGCGTGGCCTGGGCGTGCCCATTGGGCACCCTGGGGACGATTCAAAGCTTCCGTGAGTAGGAGAAGGAGGAGGAGGAGGAGGAGGAGGAGGAGGA